GAACTTGATGACGGGGCGTCGCTGCACGTCACCGGTGTCTTTCCCCTGCCCAGGCTTAAGCTAGACAGGCCCCCAACCAGGGACTCTATACCAACAGCCGGGAATGGGATACCGATGGAGCGCGGCGTGTCGCCCTGAGCTCGTGTGGTGTCGGGGTGGTCCCGCTCGCGTCGCGCCTAGCGAGTGCGACGGGAGCTGTGGCCCGGGTGCCGCCTGCGCCTAGGCTGCCGGTGCGCGATGCCGTCGTCGGCCAAAGGGGGTCTGGGTGGGAGGAGTACTAGGTCGTATTCATGTCCTATAGACATGAACTCTAGGCTCCCAAACCAGATCACCGTGCCGAGACGTAGTGGCCGTATGGGGTCTGCCATCCGAAACTTGTTGGGACGATTAAGCTAACACGCAGTGGCCCCTACCTGGCGCGCCAACTGTCGGTGTTTCGGACCGGGGGTCCTCAATCAACTAGTGAATTTGAACTGTGTGCCCCTAATCCCGGATGGTGATGCAAAGAGACACAAGGTTTATACTGGTTCAGGCAATCGGTGCCCTACGTCCAGTCTGAGAGGTTGATCTTGTATTCCTTGCACCGAAGTGCTTATAGTAGGGGGTTACAAGCTAGGCGAGAGAGAAAGCTAGTCCTAGGTCTCTGCGGGGAGCGGTGCGGGCTGCTTGAGACGTTGCTCTTAGGCAGCGAGGGAGCGTGCGTCTGAATCTTCGTGAGTCTATGTGAGTGCTCGTCTGACTTCCTTGTCTCTAGAAACGGCCCCGGTCTCTCCTTTTATAGTTGAAGGGGGGACAGGGGTGATACATGCGTTTGCTATGCAACGTCTTGTAAGCGGAGGTGGCGTGTCTGAGTCCTGTAGCTTGCTACTGTGGCGGCATGGTCAACGGGGTGGTCTTGTCCTTGGTGCACTGGAGCAACGCGCCGGTCACACCCAATCCTGTGCGACATGGGAGCTCCAGTGATAGCTTGGCGCAGGGCATGGCCGACGTCGTGCCGGTCGCTGTGCGTTGATAGTGAAAAGAGCCGAGGCTTAGTTAGTGTCGAGGCCGAGCTATCGTGGGGGGATCGGCGGGCGTGAATCCCGAGGCTGCCGAGACCCTGAAGTGGATTGTCGAGGCTGGGAGGGAGCAGTTGGTCCTATACACTAATTCTGAGGCTACAATGACCCGAACTTGACTCCCCACGCCGCGCTGTTCCTGGAGCAGGAATTAGGTGGCACAGTGCAGTACAGGAGCCAGTCATGGGCGCAGTGCTGAGCACAGTGGCCGGTAACCCCTGCTCAGTCCTGTCTCCCGTCCTGTCGGCCGCTCTGTTGTACTAAGTCGACGTGCGGCTGACGTTGCGGGAGTGGTTGGACGCGTGATGTTTTGTCAGAGAAGTCGGTCGAGACGGAGGCGACGAGGTTGTTGCCGAGCCGGCCTCGAGCGAGTCGGAGAATCGGTATTTCGTCCGAGGCTTTATGCGCGGGGCCTCGGGCGAATCGGAGAATCGGTAACCCATCCGAGGCCTAGCGGAGCGGGGCCTCGGCGGGAGGGCCTCGGCGAGAGGGCCTCGGCAAGGCGGAGAGTTGGCCTTTCGTCCGAGGCCTTTGCGGCGCGGGCCTCGGGCGAATCGGAGAATCAGCCGAGACAACGTGATCGTCCTTTGGCATTGATATTTGCAAAGTCTAAGCAATCTTTTCGGTTCTTGCTTAGGGTACCCCTTTTTATGGTATCCGACACAAGGCACCCCACGGAGGGGGGCGATTCCAAGACACATCTAACACGTCTGAGTGGTGAAACGCTTAGGCGCTCGGCAGTAGATAGGGAACTCAACCCGACCCACTCTTTTCACCAGGGACTTGGGACCTTCTCCCTCTCTCGCCTGTTTGTGTCCTCCGAGCACAGCCATCTGGGTCAGACGTGCAAACTAGAAATTTACTAGCCGATGATTCGAAACACTGACACTCTCTCTCCTCGTTGTTCTCTCCTATGCCTAGCAAGGGGGTGCCGCCAGTGGCCTAGCGCGGCCTGTCGGCACGTTCCTATGGCCCGGTGATGTCTGTGATAGGAGGAGGAAGAATGGGGATTAAGAAAAACAGTAGCAAATTCACTTCATTTGACGGATTAAGAAAAAATATAGAGAAAACAGATTGAGAAAGGGTCTGCTGAAACAGTTTTTTCAACTTATTTTGCTAATATTAGTTTATAAGAAAAGAGGATTATTTTTCTTAATTAAGTGGAGTTGCTCTAAGGTGGCATTTGGATGCAGCGTGGGTTTGGGATAAGGAAATGTATTGGGTTATGATAAGTTGGGTTTAGGTTAGGCAAACGACAATCCAAGCCCAATTCTTTTTTTTTTTTGGCAGTGGATACTAGAGGACTAAACTTTAGTCCTGTTACATCCGATGTTTAGATGTTAATTAGGAGTATTAAATATAGATTAATTAAAAAATAAATTACATAGATAGAGGCTAATTTACGAGACGAATTTTTAAACCTAATTAGTTCATGATTTGATAATGCGGTGCTACAGCAAATATTTTTTAATCATAGATTAATTAGGATTAATATATTCACATCGCTAATTAGTCTACTCCTATATAATTAGTTTTATAATTAGCTCTTGTTTAGTATTTTTAGTTAGCATCCGAACGTCCGATGTGACATAGATTAAACTTTAGCCCGTGGATACAAACACCGTAGCCGAGTTTAGGGTTTGGGTTAGGTGGGTCCCACGGTATTAAGAAAAAAAACACACAGCATATACGGCTCCATCCTCATCCACTCGCTCAGGAGCAAACCACCAGCGAGCCAAGCAACTTCCGTTGGCAGCAAGTCTTGGTAGAGGGCCGCAAGGCAGATTGCTCCAGCAGCCAGCGCGTGAGGGTGTGACCCAACAGCAAGCGCGGCTTCGCAGGACGGCGGCTCGACGGCGTGCGAGGCGACGGCCCAGGCGCACCTGGCTGCGGAAGTTTGGTAGATTTGCCACAATGTAGCATATCTCCAACCATAACATTCAAAACATAAGATTTATTCGTCCTTTGAATAACATTATTAGCAAAAGATTTAATACATATTCGGTATCTTTTCCAACAACGAGACATAGAAGAGAATCATTTCTGTAAATAGGTTCTTCAAGAGAGGATGTCCATATTTGGATTGGGTCTTTCATACAACCTAAAATAGGTCTTTCATATATATATATATAGGTTAATTTTAGGTCTCTTAATATCCATTTTATGTTTGGATGTTCAGTTTCTTTTTTGGACAGTCTTAGGCCCTGTTTAGTTCTGAAAATTTTTGGGTTTTGGCTACTGTAGCACTTTCGTTTTTATTTGGCAAAAATTGTCCAATTATGGACTATTTAGGCTTAAAAGATTCGTCTCACGATTTCTCGACTAACTGTGTAATTAGTTTTTTTTTCGTCTACATTTAGTACTACATGCATATACCGCAAGATTTAGGGAATCTTGAAAATTTTTGTTTTTTTTGGCTTGGAACTAAACGGGGCCTTACAAACAATCGCACGGCTCCCAACGGCGTCAAGATCCGCAGCCTCCAGTCTCTTCCTCGGTTCCTCTTTCTCCTACCGCTTCCTGGCTGGCTTCCCCCGCTTCGGCTCCAATGGCGTCTCTCCTCCTCGTCCCGCGCCCCACCCGGAGCCCATGCGCGAAGCCCGGACCCAGTGCCCCTCACAAGCCTAGGCCCGTCTCCATCACCTGCGGGCCGCGCGACAACCGCGGGCCCCTCCAGCGCGGCCGCTCCCTCTCCACGGAGGCCATCCTGGCGATCCAATCCCTGAAGCGCCTCACCTCCGCCGACCGCTCGCCGGCGGCTGCCTCCGCTGCCGCGGCCACCGCCCTGGGCCGCCTCCTGAAGGCGGACCTCGTGGCCGCCATGGCCGAGCTCCAGCGGCAGGGCCACTGGTCTCTGGCCCTGGCCGCGCTCCACGTTGCCCGCGCCGAGCCCTGGTACCGCCCCGACCCGGCGCTCTACGCCACCTTCGTCTCCTCCGCGCCGGCCTCGCCCTCCGACGAGGGCGAGGCCGAGGCCGCCGTGGACGCGCTCGTGGAAGCGTTCCTGGAGGAGAAGGCGCGCGGCGGCGGGTTCGTGGACGGGGAGGAGGACGTGTACAAGCTCACGAGGCTGCTGCGCGCGCTGGTGGCCAAGGCCAGGGGCCGCGCGGCGTGGAGGGTGTACGAGGCGGCCGTGAGGGAGGGCGGCCTCGACGTCGACGAGTACGTGTACAGGGTGATGGCGCGGGGGATGAAGCGCCTGGGCCTCCACGAGGAGGCGGCGGAGGTGGAGGCCGACTTCGCCGAGTGGGAGGCCACGGTCTCGCCGCCCGCCAGGGACGTGCTCGACGAAATGCGATCGAGAGACGAGAGCAAGACGGCTGCCAATGCCTCCTAGTCCAATACCACTAGAATTAGTGTCCTGCTACTGTAACAACGGTGATACGTCTTCTAGAAATCATACGGCCACTTACAGCAAGTGTTTTAACAGTTGATCATTGCAGTTGCAGCACATACACCCTTACAACTAGCTGTTGCAGCAATCTGTTCAAATTTCAAATTTGATTGGTAAATGGCCGCAAGAGAAACAGAACAGCAACAGGATGTCAAAGTCTCTCGGCGGTTTCTTCTGTCCATACTTCACATTTCCAGCTCACGGTCATTGCGACTGCAGCACATACACCCTTAAAACTAGCTGATGCAACAATCGTTTCAAATTTCAAATTTGGATTGGCAAATGGCTGCAAGAGAGAAAACAGCAAGGCTAGTTATTTCGTATCGTACATGATGTCAAGGTCTATCGACGGTTTCCAGTATCCATACTTCTATAGCTCACGGTCAGTTTCACACTCAACACATTCACATTTCCAACTACAGAATCAAGGGCTAAATTACATGGTAACCATGATGAACGGGCATCCTTCTGTTCTAGCACTGTTACATTTCAAACCCACGAACAGCTCTACGATATTTACCCAGGTGTATCGGCGCGGCACAAGGAACTCACTCGAGACCATAGTCTTCGCCAAAGTATTTGTCAACCAAACCGTTGGCCATATTCCTCATCACCTCGTTCTCATGGAACTGGAACCTCTCCATAGCCTCGATGCCGTCCTCTGCCTCCACGAGCTTTGGACCCTGACTGTTAGGGTATCCTCTCATCACCTGCAAAATGAATTTGATTTGCGGTAAATATGAATCCCAGTAGACAAAAGACATGGCTAAATGCTTTTAAGCATTAAAATCTCAGATTCCCTTACCAGTTCCAGGAACTGAAGCCCAAGTCTCGCACTCTCTATATCAGCTGACCTCACCAAATTTATAAATCCTGGAAGGGCTCCACCATCTACGATGGCAACTAAATGTTCAATGATTATGTTTGGGGGGTTACCACTGCCTGCTGGGACAACACACAGATTGCCCAGGGTGTATGCTGCTTCCCTGCGGATGTCAAATTGTGCAGTCCTGAGGAGGTGCATCAGCAAAGGAGTCGCCTCACTAGCAAATATCAGTTTCTTATGCTCGAAACTGCCCGCTGCTATATTTGACATGGCCCATGATGCCTCCTATATAAGCAGTTCAAAAAAAAAAAGACAAGATAAACCAAAGAATTATATAACCTTTTAGAGTCCAAATTAAAATAAACTTAGTCAGCAAATGAAAGGGCAACATACCTTCTTGAGAACCCTATTGTCGCTCTTCAAACACTTGATAAGACTTGATAAGGCTTGATCTGGAACAATATTTAGTTAGTAACTTAGTACTTGGAGACTAACACATACTCTAGAATGGCAAGCTGTTAGCTGATGATAACATCATTACAAGTGAAATATGGCGCTCATATACAATTAGCTATAAAGGATTATCCAATTATGAGCTAACCTGTGACACTGTTTCCAACAATTAGGACTGAATCAACCATGTAACCATCACCAGCTACAAGATTTCCTAAACCGCGAAGTACCTATTTTGAAGTAGAAAAGTCAATCTGTCTGAGCTGTGAAATCACATATACTAGCTATATATTTACAAGTTGCTAGATAATTCTAAAGTTACAAGAGAAAATGATCTTTGACAAACAGATGCCAATTTATACAATGTACATTAATGGCAAATCCCTATTGTCTGGAAATCATTATTAGCACCTTCATACCAAAATATCGTGACAAACAAATGCCAATTTAGAATATAGAATAGTTTCTTGTGCAACAGTTAACGATAAAAGGTGTCCAAATAATAGGTGTTTCATTTTAGGGAAAAATCTGAAACTGAGAACAGGCACAAGTTAAAAATTGCGATGGAGAAAACGAAGATGATACCGGAATGAGCAACTGCAAGTTTTCAGATGCTAGAAGCCGCCCGATCAGCAACTGTGGCACAGAACTTCTTACTATTAGGCTGGTAGCTTTTTCTGAAAGTGCTGAAAGATAGACCACTACCCATGCCACTTCAGTTGCAAGTTCTTCATCCCTGAAGAGTCCAAAAACAACTCATCAGCAGCAGTAATGAGCGAAGCAAGCATGGGGATTTGATAGATTTAGTTAGTTGATGATGTAAACATGCAGAACTTAGATATTTTTGAAACAGACCAAACATAAGACTGCATAGAGAAGATTGCACAAAGCAGCCGATATATACAACACAGCATGGGTGCATACTGAGGAAAGGTCAGGAGATTGGGCATGTGACTATAACCCTCCCAGCATATGTTTCTAAGATCTGCCATGGAGTGAAGATACAGGTTGCATGCCAGCGAATCTAAATACCCCAACAAAAAAGAACTGAGATTATCCCTAATTAAGCTAAAAAGAATGTATTTCATGGGACTGTAAGAACAAGGGACAGATAACTAGTATTTTTGTTGCAAGTAAGAAACTAGCATCAGAAGTCAGAACAACCATATCTCTACTTGAGTTCTCAAAAGTCAAGAAGTGTACACAGAAGTAATGATGCAAAATAAAAAGATGTCAATAAGGTGGCACATACGCTTTTTCCAAGTTCCGTGTTATTGCATTCAGTACACCATCGATGCCAATAAGCTCATTCGCAGCCTTGGAATCAGGCCCTGGGATAAGAGAAACAAATGTTTCAGCAAATGAAGCTTGGTATGTAGTTACAAGCATATGTAGAAACACCAATTAACTCCATCGGCAGGGTGTCATTTTCCAGATTCTGGACAAAATCCAAGAGCGCATTAAGGATTTCAGTAACCAGCTGGGTTCCCAGTGGTTTGTTTTTGTATGGATTCTCTACTTGTGTGTTGACTCAACCTTAAAATAGCACTGTCTCTTGAAATATTTTAAATTGGCATCTAAAATCACCAAAACAGGCCATCATTTGAATTCTAGAATCCCTGTAAAGTTTGATAGCCAGGCAGTTAAAATCAGGAATTGGGATCCCGCATCCCACTGTTGGAGCAATTTAGCATATAAGGTTTTAGAATATATTTTTAAGTTTCGGGAAGTCTAAACTTCCCAACACAGATATGGCTTGAACTTATGTTAAGGGTAGATATGGATATGACTTGTGAACTACTCCCTCCCTGAAATATAGTGGATTTTCAATTGTTTTCAAACCATCCTAAGTTTAACCAAGTTTAAGAATATTTACAATATCAAATGAGCTCCATTAGATAATTAGATACATTATTATGAAATGTATTTTCACAAATTACCTCTTTCATATTGTAAATATTCATGTTCTTTTCAACAAACTTGGTGAAACTTTGGATGGTTTGACTTAGGAAAACTGAACATGATGGAGGGAGGAAACCGTTACAGTAGTACCATCTTGGAAATACTTTATCTTAGTTCAAGTTTAAGCTTAATAGCTTATGCTTAATTTTAATTCCTTCTATAAAATGCTCTTGGTGAAGAGACAACTGTGACATAACAAGCAAGAGAGGGACTTAATCAATACAACCTTGATGAGATTTGACAATGCCCATGCAGCAGTTCTTGCTGTAGAACCCTTATTTGACAGCATTAAACGGGCAAGAGGCCACAAAGCACCTTGAGCAAGTAATGTGCTTCTCAGCTCTGCTCCTTCACCAGCAACATTACCGATGGCCCATGCACATTGTTCCGCGACAAGTGTGGTGCTCTTCTCTAACAGACATAGGGAGATTAAAACTTTTATAGGAGGTCAACCCAGTAGTCATTCTTGAGAATTGTGTATTCTAGAGACAAATGGGAATGGAAATGGACGCTATTACATTTGACCAACAAATAAGAGAAAACTAACCACCAAGGTGAGCAATGAGCAATGGTAGAGCAGGAAGTAAGGATTTAGTTTCCTCAGGTTCCCCTGCCGCTATGTTTGTAAGGCACCAAGCTGCCTCTAGCAACTGCAATTAAAAAGCATGAAGAATCTTGATAAGAGAAAAGATCAATTGAGTATAGCGATACAATTACCATGCGAATGATCAACACATACAAACTTTACTCAGTTTAATTGTACTGTTAGGGCTATGGAACAATAAGTGGAGTGTGCTCAACTTGTTCATCTGATGATCCAAACAACAGATACTGCACTAACAGAGGGACTGCTCCAGCTTTAATTGCTGCATCAACTGGAGGTACTTCAGACTGGGACAACAAACGCCTTAAAGCATGAAGCACCTCTGTCTTCCTCTTCTGTGCCCCTTTTCCCCTAAGAGTAACCGTAAAACATATAATTCAAAACCGGAGTTCTTTTAATATGCGCTTCATATTCTATTCTAGTAGTTAAATTTGAGAGTGCTTGAATTAAGTTTAGCCCTTACAGCTAGCCGATGCGTAATTTCCAAGGCGAAAAATATCAAAAACAAGTAAACAGAAGCAGGATCACAAATAAACTACTGTGCAATTGTGTTCATGTCTGTAAATCGTATCAATGACCACATAGGGTTTTACATATGAAATGAGATGTTCAAGAGATTATCAAAACTATTCTGTCAATGCATCATAACCAAACTATTTTGACCTCCTGTAGATGCAATACAGGAAGAGACCTCAAAACCAAGACTAGGAATAATTCAAGGTGATGGCTTTCATTTGGTTGAGAAAAGGGAGAGCAGTATGATATATTCAGGCTATTAAAGAGTACACCAAGAATTAGGGCTTATATTAACATAAATGGAAATCTTTTTTATGGAAGGCACCTACTGGCTTGACAAAGCAGATTTCAGTTCCTCAACAGCCTGAGTCGTTCTAGCCTCAAGATCTGCTTTCCCCTCGTCAATAACCATGTCACCGTCTTCTGCTGCAGCCTCATCACTGCCGGAAAGAGCAGCTCGACATACTCGCTTTGCACGCATCAAGGCTTCCCTTCTTTCCTTCCCTATCACAAGAGCCTGCTCCCTCCTGCGATTAGCAGCTGTATTGTGCACTGCAACCAGACATACAACCAACTAAAGGCCTTAGAGGCTATACTTACTGCAGACTAGCAACAAGATCCACCAGTAGGATGCACCATGATATATGTTTTTTTTCATGCAATGTTGTAATAAGTTTTTTTTGTCGCATGATTAATTTAGGATGCAACAGAGTTAACATATATATAATTCCATTCTACTGCTCAACACCAACATCAAACAGTCTAAGGTTAATGTACTACCCTAGATTCATTACTTGCATAATTTATGCAGCTATAATCATAAATATAAAATTGAATAGCAATATTAGTGGTGGTGAACATGACACTGCAATTGGAACTTTAAGTAATAAATCGCCCTAATAAAAGTAACACGACTCTATAATGCTTCACAAGGGATTTAGCAGCTACCTACAGGCAGTGTTAACCTAAACGCTAAACGGTAAACAGTCGGTCACCTGCCATTTAGCCCATTATTCGGGCAAAACAGGAGTTTAAACGGGCAAAACAACCGATTAAACGGAAACAGTGTACCACCGTGTAGCGTTTAAACGGTGTGTAAACGGGCTAAACGGCCGTTTAGGTGAACAGTGCCTACTGGAGGTAGCAGTAGCCACTGCTTAATTTTCGGCCACACATGTCAAATTGTAAATTGTTTGTCATGCCAATTCGCCAGGTTTCGTTCACTACAGAATAACCCCTCAAACCAAGTTCCTTGCCACCTAACCCTGCTAATAAGATGAGTCCCAATTCTAATCAGCTCGACTGCTCGAGCAAAACAGTTATCGAACCCTGGCGTAGGCGAAGTTCTTCCCAAATAAGGCAATAGCAGAAGCCAGTAGAGCACTTAGCGCGCTCACCGCTCCTCGTTCCGAGAGCAACAGAACCGCAACGCGAGCTCAGGGTGATTCAGATAGGTTAGGGCTTCTGCCACGGCCGCGGCCCGCGAGCGCCTAGTGTTCGAAGCGATGACAAAGCAACGCCGGCGGGAGGAGACAGGAGGGAAGCGCGAGGGTGCACCTGAGGACTTGATGGCGTTGCGGTGGTACTGGTGGTGCGGAGAAACAGAGGGCAGCGAGGCGGAGGCGCTGCCGTCGGCCATCTTCCCCGGTCCCGGTCGCGACGGCTGAGCTCGGCGGCTGGAGTTTTTCTTCTTCTCTCTCTGGTTCTCGGCTGCTTTGTGATGTAAGCAAACGGGACGGAAACGGGAATGCTGCCTTTGCTGTTGTGGGTCAACACAGTCTAGGCCCGCTAACAAAAAAACACATTCTAGGCCCGCTATAAAAAAAACACATTCTAGGCCTATTTGGGCCTCCGGCGTTGCCGTGGTAGCCCAGATGGGGACAAACATGGGTGGAGAATTTTTTTATTTTCATATATTCGTTCTTTTTTGTAAAAGCAAATAGATAAATAAATAATGGAAAAAGTCCACATTACCTCTCTCAACTTTAGCGAAAGTTCACTTTTCCTCCCTGAACTCCAAAACTAGGCAAAACACCTCCCTCAACTTTTAAAACCGTTCATCTTACCTCTCTGGACCTGTTATAAACAGTTTTGAAGACGGTTTTATCTTTTTTTCGGCTAAATCTTTGAAAAATCATAGTAAATCACCGAAAAATCATAAAATGGAAAATCCAATTTTGTTGAACTCAACATGAGTAAATCTACGTAATGAACATATAATATGGTATACTTTAGTACAAAGTTTTTGCTATAACTTTAGATTTATGCTTTTATATAATTAAATGGAATAATTCATAACTGCAGTTTCTATGTTTCAATTGTGGTGAAATTTTTATGGTGGACTAATTATTGTATGCTTAAACTGTAGTAAAAAATTCATACTCATTGGATTATGTATAGTTTAGTTATAGATTTTAATTAGGCTTATGCTTGTTAAATACAAATAGATTTTAATCGCGACTTGGATGAAGGCGACGAGGCGATCCGGAAGATCAACACCTCACACAAGACTTTGAAGACATATTGAATATCTACTAGATCAAGCAAAGTTCAGGAAAAAAATAATGGAACCAAATCAGCTGCAATGCTCACAAAGAAATAAACACAAAAAAAAGAGGAAAAAGCAATGCACAACGTGCATGCAAGGGAGAGAGGTGCACGTACTGATGTTCCTACCTTGCTTGCTCGCTTCCAACTCAGTCGAGAAGCCGCAGCAGCGCGTGCACTAGCCAGGGCGGCAGCGGCAAGCAGCGCGGCAGCAGATCGCCAGCTCACAGCAGCAGCGCCCACACAGCCAGTGCAGCTTCCAGGCAGAGGGCGTCAGACCCTGAGATAGAAGGGTGTCGGACCAGCTCCTAAGAGTCTGACGGTAGGGAACAGAGGCAGCCGCACGTAAGCAAAGCGTCGGACTGCAATACATCACTGTTCATCACGAGTTCACGTTCAGCCAAGCGTTGGACTCTGATCACCACCAAGCGTCGGACGACGGTTACGAATTTGGTTCCAGCAGAGAAACAGAGAGCGCCCGAAAAGATCCGTGGGCGTCGGACCGTCCCACGATGGACCCACGCATCAGCCACAGCAGGCGATGCAACGGTCGGTGGCATCGGCCACTGACACAAGACTGCTACAGTAGCATCGGGCTGCTACACAGTTCAACTGGGACTATAAATATAAGTTACAACCGGCCAAATGATGTGTGGAGAGGCCGGAAAAAATAAGTGAGGTGATATTCTATTTTAGTGATCTTCACTTGTACAGTGCTTAGCGAAATATTTAATGATTAGTATAGGTGCTTTGCGAAGTGCTTAGATTAGTTAGACCACGCTCATATGCACTTGCTCTAGGCTTATGTCTAGTTGCTAATGAGGTTTGCATACCTCTCATCCAAAGATGCTTGCGCGCATCGTGCTTGTACTCGGTGGGACTTATAGTTTTATGAGACCACACCAATCACGTTTGTGATGTGACCGTCACCGTGTACCGAAGGGAACAAGACATGCGGTGTTTCGGCCGAAAGCTTGATAGTGAAGACGGCGGAGATCGGTCCGGGAGAGGCTTACCGGAAGGCACATCGGAGACCCACTTGCGCGTGGAAAAGGCCATGGGCTATCCACGGAGTTACCCGACCGGAAGCTTGGCCCTTGCAAGGGATTCCTTACGAGGGGCTCCAACGAGGATTAGGGAGAAGCTTGAGCGCTTCTTGATAACTCGGTAAAAATACCAGAGTTATCGACGGAGGTTTGTATCTCTACCTCATCTTTACCTTACGCATGTATATTGCTACCTTGGTTGTATGCTTTACGTCCCTAGTTTAGTTGATAGGCTAGTTGATAGGATTGGAACCTAGATTGTATAACTCTTTTGTGGTAGAGATAACAACACACCTAGCAAAACTGTAGTTACACATTTAGATAGATTACTTTCTTGCATAGATTTTGACTAGGTGGAATTAAAGGCCTTAGTTAGAAGTATAATTTTAAGTTGCCTAATTTATCTCTCCCCCCCCCCTCTCCCCCTCTCTTAGGCATCACGGTCCCTTACAATATCTTGCCTTGCATTCGTACACAAGCAGATTCAAATTATCCATATCTCTATGGATATTAAAAGTTATTTTCTATTTTCTTAAAATTCAGATTTGAATTGGAGCGGAGCGAAGAATTATCCACACCACTTTTAACCCTAAAACCTCGTATATCCCGAAAAACTAAAACGGACAACCAAACACCTTTTCTAGCATATTGCATCGGCTCATATAGTTCAAATTCAATCTACCAAGCACATATTGTCAACTCAGCTTTTTTATGTGCGAGTATTCTCAACTCAGCTTGCACCTACAGCTGCAGCTAACCAAACATTCTTCTCTTTAAAATGACTTTCTACCTAGGCTGCGTCCCGAATCTAGAATATATATACAATGCAACTTGATCTCCTCAGCAACCAAACATGTCGTCTGTATCCGATCCCGTTGGCGCCAAGGGAGACATGCTTACCGCGTATATACGTATATACCTGATCGTGCGCAAGCAAAGTGACAATGACAGCTCCGATCCCATCCTCAACGAAGGTCGAAGTGAAGTTCGCGGAGGTTTCATGTGTGTGGCGGCACCAGTGCGGACGGAGCAGACCACACACCTCGTGCCGCCCGCCCGTGGCTTGTCCCAACTAGCTCAGTTCCAAAGTGGTTTCTTCAATCGCATCGCACGAAAAGCCTCCCGTCCTCAATCCTCTATAAAAGCCAGGCATCGTCAGCATTCATATTTGTCCATGCAAACGAGCTAGCAGAAGGCAGGCCATCCTGAGAAGTAAAGCAACATGCGGTTGCTGCCCCCCTCTCGCCCCCGCGTCGCTCCCCCACGCGGGCGACACGGCGGCCGCACCCTCCCAAACCCTAGCAGCCGCCCCTTCCCTCCCCTCCCCCTGCCACGCCGCCAACGGAGCTGGCTACCGACATGGCCACGCGGCTCGTCGGGATGGAGGTGGCGGGGCTCCTCCTCTCCTCACGATTTGGTGGCGCGGGTGACAGCGAGCCGTGGCTCTCCTCCCACATGGGTTGCGTGGAACCCGGCAGGGGCGCCCGCCGTGGCTATTGGCGGCGATGGCTGGTGTCCGGCTGGCGCGTGGGGACGGCGACAGATCCCCTTCTCCCTCGCCCATCCCTTCCTCTAGACTTGGTGACTGTGGCGGCGTTGGCCTAAATCACTGGATCGAGTCCTGGGAGGTTGGATTCGTTGTCCACGCGGCCAGATTTGGAGCTCCGGCGCCTGGACCTGGCACTGTCTCGGAGGGTTGGCGAGGGCGGTGGCTGGCCAAGGCAGAGGCGGTGATGACAGCAAAGGGTGTCGGCACCGGTGCTCTACTGCCGGTTCTAACGCTACTGGGCAGGGGGCGGCGCCCACGGGGGTGGGGCACGTGTCTGGTGGTGGCTGACGTCGAGTCACAGCGTCAGTAGCACGTGCCAAGAGCCGACGACAGCGGCCGGCTAAGGCGTTGGTCGTGTGGCGGTGTTTCGCGAGCAGCAGAGTCAGGTCCGGCTCCGCGTTGCCCGACCGAAGGGGGTGATGGCCGACGCAGTTGTGCGGCTGCTGCGTGCAGCCGGCGCGTCGAGGCCCCTCTGAAGGGGTTACTATGGAGCGGCAAGACAACGGCGAAGGTTGTGATGGATAGCAAGGGGCCTTGCTTCTTTGCCCGACGTTCGTGCTAGAGGACTCCTTGGGCGAAAGCCTAGCGATGGCGACACCTGTGGGTGGCGCTTTCCCTGTTGGGGGGCGTCGTGTATCCCCTCTAACACTATCATCTAAGGGTGAAAGCCCGGTCCACTTTAGATGTGCGACGGTAGCGCCATCGACGTCGCTACCTTCCTGAAGGCGTCGCGTTTGGATTTCATCGTAGCCTCGATGTCTCTTCGGTGATTGTTCTTCGCTTCTTGGTGCCTCGATGATGCGTGGAGGCGGGTCTTGCTACGAGAAGTCGAAGCTGCTGCGTCAGGGATGTGGCTCGGCAACGATGACACACGGCGAGCCCCCACCTTCATCGTAGGCTGGGGTCTGCTAGGGGTCGGCAAGCGCTGGAGGTGAGGCGTGTGGCCGTGATTGGAAGTCGGAGCTGATCTTTGCGGGGTGCTTGCGCTTGGCAACGATGACCGGTTGCGGCCGCTTGCTTCGGGCTCGTTGGTGGGTGGCTTGTGTGTGGACTGCCATGAGAAGTCGGAGCTGCTGGCGTCTTCAGCCATGCTCGGCAACGATGACCCATGATAGTGTGCCATGTTAGTGCTTAGCTGTGTCGTGTGGATTGGTTAGCGTATCAAGTGTCCTTTTTGAAATCCTATTGGCTAGCCCTCTTATACATAAATTCTTTCGTCTTAATTGAGCGGCAGAGCTCCTGCCTTTGTTTAAAAAAAACATGCAGGTCTCCAAATTGCTAGTGGTAGCTCTCGTGTGCATGGTCCTCGTCTTCGGCGGCGTCGAGATGAGCATCGGCGCTACGGCCGTGCCGCGAGCTCTGCTGAGAGCCAACGTCCTCCCGGCGGCTCTGCCACACGCGACGGCGACGGCTACGTGCCCCCCCTCCCTCGATAATTGCTGCAGCCCGAGGCAGAACTGCTGCATCGACGTCGCTGCCCCGGCGTCCGACTCCGAT